CTGCATGCGTACACAGTAACACCACACAGCAGCAGAGCGGAGCGTCGTGCAGCCAAAGACCGCAGCAGCATCTGCTGCTGCTGCTGCTGCCGCTGCTGCTGCTGCTGCAGCAACTGAAACAGCAACTACAACATCAACCGAGAAGATAGAGAAGACGCCTGCAGCTAGAACAGAATACACAGCCGCAGCTGCAGCAGGTACTGCAGCAGCAGCAACAGCAGCAGCTGCATCAGCAGCAGCAGCTAACGCTATAGAGGGAAACCTCAGCAGCAGCAGCAGCAGCAGCAGCAGCAACCTGGAGAGAGGCGATATGCCGCAGCTGATTTTAAGTACGCTTTGCTTTATCAGCAACAGCAGCGCGAGCGGCAGCAGCAGCAGCAGGAGGAGGAGGAAGCACACTAGCAGCAGCAGCAGCAGCAGCATAAACCACAGCAGCAGCAGCAGCAGCAGCAGCAGCAGCAGCAATGGCTTGCAGGCCTCTATTGACAGAGGAGGACCTCTATAGGTTCCGCACAAAGAGCTGCAGACGCCTCTCCAGTGGGGGATGTGAATTCGGCCTGTCGTGAGTCGAGGGTTTAGGGTTTAGGGTTTAGGGTTTAGGGTTTAGGGTTTAGGGTTTGGGGTTTAGGGGTTAGAGTCTAGGGTTTAGGGTTTAGGGTTTTGGGTTGAACGTGTAGACTCTGATCAGGTCTAGAGGGTTTACGGCTCAACATTCAAAAGTTTAGGGTTTAGGGTTTAGGGTTTAGGGTTTAGGGTTTAGGGTTTAGGGTTTAGGGTTTAGGGTTTAGTTTTACACCGCGCCTGTTGGTTTTGGTTTTCTCCTCTTTCTTTATGTGAATTCCTCTTTCTGTCTTCTTTTGTTTCTCTCTTTGTCTCATTTCATCTTTGTTTTAGGGTTTAGGGTTTAGGGTTTAGGGTTTAGGGTTTAGGGTTTAGGGTTTAGGGTTTAGGGTTTAGCGTCTCTTATCTGTTTCTGCATCTTTTTTTTTTCTCTCTTTTGCTTTTGTCTATCTCTTTATCTAATTGTATTTAGGGTTTAGGGTTTAGGGTTTAGGGTTTAGTTTTGTGTGCTTTTTCTCTCTTTTTGTTTTGTTTTTGTCTCCTTTTTCTCTATCTTTCTCTCTTTTCTGTCTCTTCCTGTTTCTGTTTATTAATTAATAACTAATAAATAATAATAATGATTTAAT